CGCGCCAGGCCCCCCCCCCCCTTGACCCCCAGCCACGGGCCCCCGGGCAGCCCCGGCCCCCCAGCGTCACCCCCTTCTCCCTCCCCCCGGCCCCCTCCCCACCCGGCCGTCCCCACGCTCCCTCCGTCCATCTGTCCACCCGCCGCCCGCTCTCCATCTGTCCCGCATCCTGCTGCCCCTTGTCCCGGCCAGGACGAGGAGGAGGAGGAGGAGGAGGAAGGTGGGCGCCCCAGTGCCGGGCATCCCTTTGCGCCCCCCCACCCCCCACCCCACGGCGCTGCCGGGTGAGTCGGGACGGGTGCCCCATGGCCGGCGCTGTCCCCATCCTGCGGTGGCCAGCAGGATGGGTGCCCTGGCGCGGGTGCTGTGCCCATCCCACGGTGGCCAAGAGGGATGGGACCCCATAGCCAGCACTGTCCCCATCCTGCAGTGGCTGAGTGGCACGGGTGCCCCATAGCCAGCACCGTCCCCATAGCCAGCACCGTCCCCATAGCCAGCACTGTCCCCATCCTGCTGACCCCATCCTGCGGTGGCCGAGTGGGACGGGCACCCCATAGCCAGCAGCGTCCCCATCCTATGGCGGCCGAGTGGGACAGTAACCAGCACCGTCCCCATAGCCAGCGCTGGCCCCATCCTGCGGTAGCTGAGCAGGACTGGCCCTCCATAGCCGGCACCGGCCCCATCCCACAGTGGCCGAGTGGGCCGGGTGCCCCATAACCAGCGCCAGCACTGGCCCCATCCTGCTGTCCCCATCCCACGGTGGCCAAGCAGGATGGGAGCCCCATAGCCAGCACCACCCCATAACCAGTGCTGTCCCCATTCCATGGTGGCCAAGCAGGTCAGGCACCCCATAGCCACCACTGTCCCCATCCCGCGGTGGCCAAGCGGGACGGGTGCCCCATCACCACCACCGTCCCCATCCTGCGGTGGCCGGCGCCGTCACTGACCCCCACCCCGTTCCCCCCCCACCCGCAGACGGGGTCCACAGCGCGACGGCCCAGTGCACGCTGCGGGTGACGGTGATCACGGACGAGATGCTGAGCAACAGCATCACCCTGCGCTTGGCCGACATGTCCCAGGAGCGATTCCTCTCCCCGCTGCTCAGCCGCTTCCTCGAGGGGGTGGCAGCCGTCCTGGCCACCCCCCGCCACCGCGTCGTCCTCTTCAACATCCAAACGGACACGGACGTGGGGACCGCCCGTATCCTCAACGTCAGCCTCTCGGTGCTGCTGCCCGCCTCGGGGCACGGCGCCCGCTTCTTCTCCTCCGAGGAGCTGCAGGAGCGGCTCTACCTCAACCGCTCGCTGCTGGCCGCCATCTCGGCCCAGCGGGTCCTGCCCTTCGACGACAACATCTGCCTGCGCGAGCCCTGCGAGAACTACATGCGCTGCGTCTCCGTCCTCCAGTTCGACAGCTCGGCGCCCTTCCTCGCTTCTGACACCATCCTCTTCCGCCCCATCCATCCCGTCACCGGCCTGCGCTGCCGCTGCCCGCCCGGCTTCACCGGCGACTACTGCGAGACGGAGATCGACCTCTGTTACTCCAGCCCCTGTGGCAGCAACGGGCGGTGCCGGAGCCGCGAGGGTGGCTACACCTGCGAGTGCCACGAGGATTTCACCGGTTAGAGCCCGGCGCCTCCCTCCCTCGGCGGTCCCCGGTGTCACCTTGTCCCGTTCCCCTTCAGCCCTCCAGTGGTGGTCCCGTCCTCTTGGTGTCCATCCCCACCATCCCTTCATCCCGCTCCCCTTCAGCCCTCCATCCTCTGTCCCTCCTGCTCGCCCTCCATCATCCATCCCCACCATCCCTTTGTCCCACTCCGGTTCTCCATCATCCATTCCCATCAGCCTTCATCCCGTTCCTCATCAGCCTCCCTCACCTCTCCCTTCTGCTGGCCCTCCGCCATCCATCGTGGTCATCCCTTCATCCTGCTCAGCCCTCCGTCAGCC